GGAAAGCTGGGAGAATGAAATTCTACGAACATGTTTCCAGCATACGTGTCATCCTTACAACCTGAAATCACTGCTCACGTAAGTCTGGACCTCACTACAGAAGCCGAAAAAATATGCAAATTTTGTGGCAGGAAAACGATTTCGAGAACGGGACAAGCTAGAAAGCTAGAAGATTCAGCTACTGCGCACACCTGTACCGCGCACACAGTTACGTCAAAGTTCGCGGTTGGCACCGTATCAATTCGACAACTAGCCGGGAAGTAGCAGATAAAAATTTGTTAGGATATTTATTGTCCATCCGGGAAATCGCACACCTGAAGTGCACTTGCACCACTATTTGGACCATGTCAAAGGTATTTGTAGTGAAATGGCTATCTGTTTACCTGACAAACTGTTTCCAAAGATATTCTGTATTCACGCGTGATCTAAACACAACTTGGGGGCTAAATTCGCTCCACATAGACACGACAAATGCTCAGTTTTATCGTAAACTCAAAAGTGGATGCGTTTTGCAGTTTCGTAATCCTCTCCCGACATCCCGAACATTTTCAAATTTGCATTTTTCGATGAAGAATCGCTCACCGGAAAAACCACCGAGCTTCATGCAAAAAATTGGTAACAATATGCACTGGATGGTGCAGCACTACTACCCCAGCCGACACTCTTTCCTTCTGAACGCATGAAAGCGCCAAAACACATGTGTCCGCGTGTTAGACCGTAAAGCAGGAACCATTCATGCTGTTAATTACCTCATTACTTCGAATTTAGCACGAAATCGCACTGGCAAGACTGTTGTATGGAAGCCTTTGAATAACTTTCTGTGAATAACTTGTGAATAACTTTTGAAAGTGAATAACTTTTGAATAACTTTATTTTTAAATGAATAACATTCTAGCAAATGAGAACAGTAAGTACACTGGAGCGGGGTTGATGAGGGAGGCCAAAAATTCTGTTGCATTGTTCAAAGGAATGAGGGCATGTGGAGGGCGCAGGGCATCGGGCAGCAGCGGCGGCTGCGAGGGAAGCATCGATGTTGCGGTGGAAAGGGCTTTCAAATAACAAAC